ATTCAATTACATTATACAGAATCAATAAAACCCTAGCCTCTTTTTCTTTGGATTGTTTCACAGTTATATCCTTATCTATAATTGGTCTCTTTCTAATTGATATAATAGATGTGAAAAAAATTCAAAATCTCTACTTCCTACCATCTAGTCCAAATTTATTACCAACTAAGACAGGATATTTCAAGTTTCCTAGTACACTTCAAGCTTCAGAATGAACACCATCTAACACGTTTGGTTACTACTAAGTCAAACTTCTAAGTAAATTTTTATTTTCAAATATGTTGAAATGTAATGTGTTACTTTTCTGAATGAGATCAAATGACTTCCACATAATCAGGTATGGCCAATGGTTCAAGACAAGGATTTTTGGGAAAATTCATGTATTTCTTCCAAGTGTTGAGGCTGCCAAGACAGTGTTTACGAATGATTTTGTGTTGTTCAATAAAGGGTACGTGAAATCAATGGGTGATGCAGTTGGAAAGAAAAGCTTACTGTGTGTTCCTCAAGAGACTCATGGAAGGATCAGACGTCTTCTTTCTGATCCTTTCTCAATGAATTCTTTATCGAAGTTTGTTCAGAAATTTGACTGCATGTTGAGTGGAAGGCTGGAGAAATTAGAAAACAGTGGGAAAAGTTTCAGGGTGCTTCAATTCAGTATGAAGGTAACTATTTTGTTTCTATTGTACCTTGCATAGTTGCATTGGACGTCTTTGTATACAATTTGCAACCACTTTAAAAGTTTAAGTTGTTAGAGAATGAAAAACTTCTTATGTTAGAGTAACATTGTCTTGCGTGTATCCACTATTATTCCTTGTATTGGACACGTTATACATTGTTTATTAATTCATCTTTATTCGAAATGAGATTTTACCAATAGTTTTCTTGCTCTGATACAGGTGGCCTTTGATGCAATGTGTGATATGCTGATGAGTGTCACAGATGGTTCCTTGCTTGAACAACTCGAGAAGGATGTCACTGCTATTTCTGATGCCATGTTATCATTTCCTGTCATGATTCCTGGCACAAGATACTACCAAGGAATGAAGGTAGGCCTACAACTTGCACGGTTTTCCCCTCCCATTTCTTCTCCTTTACTCGGAGATCCTGCGTCAGGGTACAGGGGCCGTTCGTGCAGGCAAAACAGCAGATGGGGTGGGTGTGGGAAGAAGATTTCTTTGACATTTTAGTCTAAAAGAAGTCATTTTAAACTTAAAAATTAATATGTTGACTTATCTGGTTAGAGTAAATTCATCGATAATTTGCTTTTAATCCTAACAAATTATGCAGGCACGCAAAAGGCTAATGAAAAACTTGAAGGCAATGATCACTCGACGAAGGAATGGAAAAGAATCTTCAGAGGACTTTCTGCAATCCATGTTGGATCGGGATTCATATCAATCCAATGAAAAGCTTGATGATGAAGAGATTTTGGATAATCTATTGACACTAATAGTTGCTGGACAGAGCACAACTGCATCTGCCATAATGTGGTGTGTCAAGTTCTTGGATGAGAATAAAGAAGTTCAAAATAGGCTTAGGGTGAGATTTCATGACCAAATCTTCTTATGCAATCAAAAAAATTATTCACCCTTCTAATATTCCCTTCTAGAACAATAAAACTAGCGACCTAATAATTTGATCATGAGCCTACCAAAAATCATGGCTTCAGTGACAACTTTTTCAGTAAAATTTATTTCACTGTTGGTGATAATTTTAGTAATGGATGCTCTAGACATTAAAACTTCCAACTTTGGCATTCATCAATCCTCGTTACTTTTAATTTCCAAGATCATAAGGTTCACCGTGGAGATGATTTTGACTCCAAATATCTTGCAGGAGGAACAATTATCAATTATGAGAAACAAACCAAAAGGAGCCTTGCTTACCCATGAAGATCTGAAGAACATGTCCTATAGTTCAAAGGTTAAATAACTTATTTCATCTCTCTCTCTCTCTCTCTCATATCTTTGGTGCTATATATGATATTTGGTTAAATATTTGTAGTTGGCATTTTTTAGGTTGTCAAAGAGACACTTAGAATGTCGAATGTCTTGTTATGGTACCCTCGAGTTGCACTTGGTGATTGCACTATTGAAGGCAAGTACACCCTCCTTTGGAACATTAATTCCAACTCTCCAAATGTTATGGAGTCGATAGAGATTCCTTATGTTATTGTCTCTCGATCATTCGGTTATTCTGATGGCAGGATTTGAGATAAAGAAAGGATGGCATGTGAATATTGATGCAACTCATATACATTATAACCCGGCTATATTTAAGGACTCTTTGAGCTTCAATCCTTCAAGATTTGATGTAATAAACTCTCTGCTGTTTAATTTCTCTTGTAAGGATTACAAGAAATAAATTAATTAAACAGCTAATAATGCTGTCATGTTTCATCTTCAGGAAATGCAAAAGCCATACAGTTACATACCTTTCGGCTCAGGACCTCGAACTTGCTTGGGCATCAATATGGCGAAATTGACGATGCTGGTCTTCATATCCCGACTAACTAGCGGATACACGTGAGTTAACACTACTCTTTGTTGGAAAAATTGGTTTTACTAGTTGGTTTGACCAACTTTTGACCAATTATTTTAGTGGCTCCCGTAAGTTGGACAAAATATTTTTTTGGCCGAGTGTGTTCTACTCCATGAGTAGATTAATGTAATGTATTTATTTTCTCAAAACCAATTTAAGGTGAATGAAAAATTAAGGTCAAAAGATGATCACTTGAAGTTGAAATAAATTGGAATAAAAATTGGAGGGAAATTGGAAATTGCCAATCCGACGTAGGAAAGTTAAATGAGTATAAACCACTTTATATTGCTCAAGTTTGGGACTTGAGTTTGGGCCCCAAATGATACCAATAGCCTTTGAAGGGGAGAGAACCTAGACCTACATGCTATTAGGTTGGGCAAAAGCCCACAAGCGCACGTCTCCGCCGTCTGACCGACTCAGCATGGCACAACACGTGAATAGGTCGTGGGCTTGACTTGGATTCGGACCAAGCTGATATATATATATATATATATTTTGGTAAAATAATATTTGATTTATATTATTCTATTATTATTTATAATTATAATATATTTAATTTATATTATTTTTTTCCCGATTTTTCTGTGCGGACACATGAATTCTTCTAGAACGACGGTTGACAGTTAAACGGCCCATCCAAACGGTTTGTGTCTGTTGGAGACATAACTTTTCAGATGTTGTGTCTTTTGGATACAACCTTTCAACTTCTATAAATAAACCCCCATACTCCAATTTTCATTCACTTCAAAATCAATTCTGATTTTATTCTTCTTCCAAAATTATTCATTTGTCCTTGCATAATAAATATTTTGCAATCCAACCTCGAAAAATTATTTTCGTGCATTTTAATCATCCAGTTTTTAGAGAGATCAAAACATGTGTAGGTTCGTCATGTCTTTTAATTTGTAGTGCTACTATTACAAGTCGAGGTCTAGTATCTTGGAAGACAAGTGCCAGAATACCGTTAGTACCAGTGCGATGCATTATCGTCTTGAGGAAAAAGTGTCGAACTCTTGCCTCGACCATTAAATGTCTTTTAGCATTCATTGTGCACAATATTATTTTGTCCAAATCAATTCACGGTGATATAATTATTTGTCAACAATCTTCTCGTCTAAAAACTTGAACATGTTGGAGAGATTGGATGTTTTTTAATTTCTGTCTTCAACGTGTCCCAAACCAATCTTATATTTGTTTCGAAGATCTCAACACATAAAATGTTCATTGTCTTGGTTTGATTTTCCTTTTGTGACTAAGCTTGTGCTATTTGTTTTGTTCTTGCGTAGGTGGGCTGTTGATGATCAGGATCTTAGCTTGGAAAAGAAAGCACACATTCCTAGATTGAGAAGTGGATGCCCAATAACCTTAAAGTCCTTGAACAGTGGGAATATATGATCAGTTTTGTTCCCCTATATTATAATGTGCATCTATATATGTAAATTTCTAGCAGCATCAATTTGTAGATGATGTTTACAGTTTACTTGATTTCCTAGTTAATAATTGTGTTGTATAATTGATTCTACTACGTTAATAAACTAAGTCCAGATTCAATAACAATTTTGCAAATGCACACAGACTACATAGAACAACGTGGTATCACCTATTGGATTTTTANNCGTGGTATCACCTATTGGATTTTTACTATAATTTTTTTTTTTTGGTATTTTATATTATTTAGATCCATCCTTTGACTTGAAGGTTCAAAACTCAAAAGTATTATGGCAGGGCATCTCTCTCTCTCTCTCTCTCTTCCTTCCATTGTATATTTTTCTTAATTATGGGTTCTCACGGGCTATAATGTTTGAATCTAAGTCGACCATATTAAAAGGGTTACATTTTAAAATATCAAACTTATTAAGAGCAGTAGTTTTTGACATTTATAAATTGATTTATGTTTTTATCTTTATTCAATGTATGACTTTATCTCTTAACAGACCATTGCTAATCTTTATTGTCAATGGCAAAACCTGGATCAACATAGCTATGTCAACAAGTCGAGTCGAGTCAGAAAAAAAAATGCCCGGCCAAAAAATACGAGGCTCAAGCCGAGCCGGCTCGGGCCTTTTTTTTTTTTTTTAAATCTACA